TATCTCGTAAGAGATCACATTGATGAAAAGACAAATTTTGTGACAATTCTGGTCCTACTCTACAAAAAACGATAATTACAAATCACTTCTGAGGCCATGTCAATCGAAAAGTTCTGTTTCAGTGGTGCAAAACCCGTGTGCTCTTGGCAATCCACAAATGACTCCTGATGGCCAGCCAGTTGGGTGCATGTACGGTCAAAGCGTATGTGGGGCATCTTATTGGTGTCATATTGGTGCGACAGCTCAAACGACAGTTTGCTGTCCTGGGAGAGGTTCGTAATCACTTACAACCTGGAGTATTTCCTTTATACAGATCTAGAAAAGATATCCGAATGAACATCAACAGTCCACTTGAAAAATCTTCACGTTAACAATGTTTGGTCTTATTGAGTGGAGCAACGAAATGAATTCATTAAATAGTGGCACAATCATCTCTTTCGCCTAACAGCTGGAAGTGAAGTGTTCCAAAGTTTAATGATTATAAATACCTAATCTATTAGCCCTTATTTATTTCACATCAATGGCATACTCGGAGAACCACCAGACTAGCAGCTGATTTCAGTGCAAGGACAAGCAATATGCAATCAACCAATGACCAATGGTGCTGGTAATGGGAATCTTCAACGTTGGTACTTCGACCCTAACTCAAGGAAGTGTGTTCCGTTCATATACGGTGGCTACTTTGGTAATCAAAACAACTTCCAGACCATACAACAGTGCCAAATGACATGTCCATGTGAGCTGCTTTGAATTCGCACACTGTTGTTCGTTTATCTTTCACGATCAATTGAATGTGGTGTTGATGGATCTGACGTGATCTGATCTGATGGAGCAATCGCGTTTTGAAAAGTAGCAATTTTTGGTTTATCACCGTTTCGATCACCTTCACGATATCACTTCAACATCACTGCAATAATGCACTGCAAGATAATAACGTGTCCGAGCTAAGTTCGAAGCTCGTTTTGTTGGTGTGCTATTTGTTGCTTCAAAACGTGTGCAATCTCAATTCGGGATCCGTATAAAGATGCATTGCATTACAAATATCCGCAGTGAAGTCCGCTGAAATGCGTTTAGAGATACACCCTGATATCGCACCGTTTGATGCACCTCACGAGTGCCTTTTGTAGCATACGTGAACGCTTGTCCATCTGGATCGCCTCTATTAGAGGCCAATAATTATCCCCGACAATGCCAATTCGGTGTCGGTGCTTGCGGTGCCGAATACTGGTGTCATCTTGGCTTGGTACCGGCTGAGTATCAGTGCTGTCCGGGTGAGCCAACATATCCTGCTGCATGTCAAGGGCTACCGCCTGCGATGGGTGTAAGAGATCCACGAGCACCACCAGCCACTCGTTGGTACTACAATCAACAAACCATGTCATGTAATCAGTTCCAGTATAACGGTCTCAAGGGCAACCAGAACAACTTCTTGACGAAATCCGATTGTCTACGGACGTGTCGCGGTGAGCTCTGAGTGCTGTTCACGTTTACTTGCCTTCTCAAGAGCACCTTGAACTTCCGAAAAAGGAAACACATCCTGAATCACCCAGCAATTTTGATTTCTATAAACTTGTTATCCATATCATGTGGTGTGCACGTGCCTGTTATTGTATGTTCTAGCCTATGTGAACGTTTGTCCATCTGGCACTCCACTGCTTGCCGGCAATAATCGCCCTCTACCATGCCAATTCGGCGCCGACGCTTGCGGTGACGGCTATTGGTGCCACTTGGGCTTGGTACCAGCCGAGTATCAGTGCTGTCCAGGTGAGCCAACGAATCCGGCCGCATGTCAGGGAATGCCATACGCTGTGGGTGTCTCAGATGGTCGAGCACCTCCAGCCACGCGTTGGTATTACAATCGACAAACAATGACCTGCAATACGTTCCAATATAACGGTCTCAAAGGCAACCAGAACAATTTCTTGACAAAAGCTGATTGTGAGCAAACTTGTCACGGTAAGCACTGCATGTTAGTACTCCACTCTGCATTCAAATCACACCTTTGTGCATTACTTTAAATTGATTAAGAATATCCTTTGTGATCACGAAGTACTCGCACTGTTCGAATAAACACACCGATTATTCCCTGTAAACTTTTAGCCTCAAATTTTTCCCTGAGTGGTCCTAATATGGTGTGCCCACTTTGTAGCGTATGTAAACGTCTGTCCCACTGGAACACCGTTGTTAGCTGCTAATAACCGTCCTCGTCCATGCACTTTTGGTATTGGTGCATGCGGTGCCGGATATTGGTGTCATTTGGGCTTGATACCTGACGAATTCCAATGTTGTCCGGGTGAGCCAACAAATCCAGCCGCATGTCAAGGACTACCATATGCTGTTGGTGTTCCGGACGGTCGAGCACCTCCAGCCACACGATGGTACTACGATGTGCAGTCGATGTCATGTAGAACATTCCAGTACAACGGTCTTAAGGGTAATCAGAACAACTTCTTAACGAGAGCAAATTGTCAACAGACTTGTCGTTGTAAGTGTTTTGATTGTTTCAACTCTGTTGTCTTAACCTGTCGTACCTTCAAAATAACTCAAATTACTCTTGCCCTCATGCACTCATCACTCATTTTACCCAACATCACTTACGCACCTAACAACCGTGTCCATTCCTGTGTGTTGCAGCCTATGTAAACGTTTGCCCATCCGGATCCCCACTGCTAGCCGGCAACAACCGTCCTCGTTCATGCACATTCGGCACTGGAGCGTGTGGTGCCGGATATTGGTGCCATTTGGGCTTGTTACCGGATGAGTATCAATGCTGCCCGGGCAGACCAACTAATCCAGCCGCATGTCAAGGACTGCCGTATGCTGTTGGCGTATCAGACGGTCGAGCACCTCCGGCTACTAGGTGGTATTACGATCAGCAATCAATGTCATGTAGAACCTTTCAATACAACGGACTCAAAGGAAACCAAAACAATTTCTTAACAAGAGCCGACTGTGAGCATACTTGTCGCGGTAAGTTTTATGGGTGATCTACTCTCTGAGCAAAACACGTCACCAGAAAACGAACCTGTAATGCACTTACCTCAAGCTCTGAACACATTTTCGACTCGTTGACTCTGAATTACCCGTTGCTGAATGCATTTTACCCGTTTAGTTTGTGACCAATCAACCCAATGCCATCCTCTATTTGTGCTGATGTTCCAGCATACGTTAACGCCTGCCCATCTGGCACCCCATTGTTGGCCTCTAATAATCGTCCTCGTCCATGCAAATTTGGCCCTGGTGCATGTGGTGCCGGATATTGGTGTCATCTGGGTTTGGTACCGGCTGAANGGCATCTCAGACTCCCTAGCACCACCTGCCACTCGCTGGTATTACAACCAACAAACGAAAACATGCGGAACGTTCCAATACAATGGTTTGAAAGGCAATCAAAACAACTTCTTAACAAAATCGGATTGTGAACAAACTTGTCATAGTAAGCATTGTGTTCTAACCGATCATTTTGCTGCAATCAAACCGTTCATCCCATTCACTAGATGTTAAACCCTGAAACTGCACGTGTTCTCCCATGCACTTTACACGATTAACTCAGCCCAAAATCTTGCTCACAATATTGATTGCATTGTTTAATTGTTTAAGACTATGTAATTTCGAAAATCCTATCCATCAAGCACGCACACGTTTATCCACTTTTGTGTTCATTCCAGCATATGTGAATGCTTGCCCATCTGGCACTCCCTTGTTGGCAGCCAATAATCGCCCACGACCATGCAAATTCGGTCCTGGTGCATGTGGTGCCGGATATTGGTGTCATCTGGGTTTGGTACCGGCTGAATATCAGTGTTGTCCGGGTGAACCAACAAATCCGGCCGCATGTCAAGGATTGCCGTATGCAGTGGGCATCTCAGACTCCCTAGCACCACCTGCCACTCGCTGGTATTACAACCAACAAACGAGGACATGCGGAACGTTCCAATACAACGGTTTGAAAGGCAATCAAAACAACTTCTTAACAAAATCGGATTGTGAACAAACTTGTCATAGTAAGCATTGTGTTCTAACCGATCATTTTGCTGCAATCAAACCGTTCATCCCATTCACTAGATGTTAAATCCTGAAATTGCACGCGTTCTCCCATGCACTTTACACGATTAAATCAGCCCGAAACCTTGCTCCCAATATCGATAGCATTGTTTAATTGTTTAAGACTGTGTAATTTCGAAAATCCTATCCATCAAGCATGCACACGTTTATCCACTTTTGTGTTCATTCCAGCATATGTGAATGCTTGCCCATCTGGCACTCCCTTGTTGGCAGCCAATAATCGCCCTCGACCATGTCAATTCGGCGCAGACGCTTGCGGTGATGGCTATTGGTGCCACTTGGGCTTGGTACCAGCCGAGTACCAGTGCTGTCCAGGTGAACCAACAAATCCGGCCGCATGTCAGGGAATGCCATACGCTGTGGGCGTCTCAGACTCTCTAGCACCTCCAGCCACTCGCTGGTACTACAATCAACAATCGAAGACATGCGAAACGTTCCAGTACAACGGTCTGAAAGGAAATCAAAACAACTTCTTAACAAAAACGGATTGTGAGCAAACCTGTCACGGTAAGCACTGCATGTTACTACTCCACTCCTCATTCAAATCACACCTATGTGCATTACTTTAAATTGATTGAGAATATCCTTTTTGATCGCGGAGTACTCGCATTGTTCGAATAAAGATTGCGAAGAAACTTGTCATGGTAAGTTTCACCCAGTATCGCTCGATTTCTATCCACTGTTCGGAACGTATAATGCACACATGCAACTCGATTCATTCACACACTTCAATTTTGCGTTTCTTGTGTCTGTGCTATGATCTCGAGCACCTGTTTGCGTTAATTTCACTCATCCAGATAAGCATTTTTCCTTTCAATTTGATAGTGGAAAGCTCAAAATCCAACGGATAAAATTTCAGTGTTCCTCAATCCATGCATTCGACCAATCTCTCTTCCAATAAAAACTTGCTCAGCTGTTGACAACACTTGTACTCCAGGCACATTCTGCCTCATTGGTAGCAATGCGGCAACGAGTGTGTGCTGTCCAAGTGGTTAGTTTATTTCTTCATAACTTTGTCTTCATTGCTGACTGAATCCTCCATTAGTTGCAATAGGAATAGGCCGTCATGTTGAGATTAGAGTTGATTTATCATTGATTTCACATGTTGTTCACTATAAAGATTCCTCATATCACCGGTTCATTTCAGAAGGAAATCCATGTTTGTTGCCACAAACACCGGGTACTGGTAGCTTCAGTCTACAACGGTGGTACTTCAACTCACAGAGTGGTTCATGCCAACAGTTCATCTATACGGGTTTGAAAGGAAACGAAAATAATTTCTTGACGAGAGAAAAATGCGAAGAAACATGCGGACCAAATCCATGCCCTCAAGGTCAGTTCAGCTCGAATTTCTTCAGGAGAATTGATAGTGCTGCGATCAATTAGACAACATGGAATTTCATATGTGATCAGACGCCTGTCGCTATCAACATTTCGTTATTTGTCAGAAATTTCTCAATGTTATTTCAGGGCGTCCATTCTTGGCACCTGATGGAAGACCACAATCGTGCAACGCTGCCGCACAGTCGAGCACGTGTCCAAATTCGTACTGGTGTCATACTGGAGCCAATGCTCTCAATACAGTCTGTTGTCCAAACGGTAGGTGCCGTCTTGTAACATTAAATAATCACAGTCGAAAAGATAAAAACTGTGAATTCTGGAAATGATTGCCATTCTTTGGACTCACGCATCATTCTCATTCTGACTTGTCGTAACTCGTGATTGCAAACTGAAATCCTGCTTGGATTCAGAAGAGATTTTTTGCAGCAGTGTCGAATCCTTGTTCGCTACCGTTATCAACTGGTCAAGGCAGCGCCAATCTGGAGCGATTCTATTTCGATCCTTCAGTGCGAGCATGTCGCCCATTCATTTACAAAGGAAGCCGGGGAAATCAGAACAATTTCCTGACATTGGTCATTAAATTTACTTCATTTCCTGATCGAATTATCTCAGATTCTAATCTCAACCAGTCTCCATTTCTTGCACTCTATTCATTGCTATGCACGGATCGGACTCAAAGAAGATGTAGTGATCATTCGACTGAATAATTGTACAAATGAACTTTTCGTGTATCAAAACCACCTTTCAGCGAGCATGCCAAATGGTCTGTCAACCGCTCCAGAATCCATGCATTGGACAGCCGGCGACGACTGCTGCCGGTCAGGTTCTGTTCTGTTCGGCAACCAACAAAGACACGTGCCCAGTGAATTTCTGGTGCCACGTTGGAGCGAATCCGGAAACAACTGTTTGTTGTCCTGGAGGTGACTTTTTGATGTATTTCATTGGGAAAAACATGAAATTCAGTTCATATCTTGATAGAATTATCTTTCAGCGAGCATTAGCTTGTTAAAGTGTTGAAAATAGCATGACTGCTCTTCCAATTTTACAATCGACAAATTTTACTTTTATTCATATTCTTCATGATATTTTATTCGAAAACCGTGAATGTCAGCCATTCCAAAGTTTATCCTTAACCTTTTTCAATCCTTGCATATTCTGGATGCGCTCTATTTGGGCAGAGTGGATTGACTTACTACTAGAGTTTCTCTGGGATGGCAGCTAGCAGATGATAAATCGTGTCATATAAGATCAACTAATTTGATCAAACTTATGATCACTGAAAAGAGGATATTGATCTACGGCGTATTTCAGCCACAAATCCTTGTTCCGTCCCGCTTTCACCAGGAACTGGTAATGCAGGTCTTCAGCGATGGTACTACAATCCAGATGACCGTGAATGTCAGCCATTCCAGTACAACGGTTTGAGAGGAAATCAAAATAATTTTGAGACGCAAGCTGAATGCACAAGGACGTGTCCAGGTATAACACTAGCGTTCATTTGCAATCGCTTTCCCTGTTTTCTGATCGCAAGCATATCAGCGAGGCAGCAGAAATTTAATATTCAGATTCAAATGTAGCATGAGCATGAAACATCAAATATGATCTGTTTTCTGGTGTTCCCTTTGCGGGGAACCGTTTGTAGTCTCTCGATGAAATGGGAATGCAACGGTGCGATTCTGATATGCTAAATTCAGAAATGCAAAGGAAATCGAGTGATTTTCCCTTGATTTCCTCATTCACTTGGATGCCTACTGAAGAAAAACTCAATTATTTGCGATTCAAATTGGTTTAATTTGATAAAGTATTGCAAATAGCATGACACTTCTTCCAATTCTGCAATCGACAAATTTTACTTTTATTAATATTCATCATGATTTTTATTCGAAATCATTTTTATGCATTTTATTTGTGTAATCGTTTCATGAACCAACTATACGTAGTTGGCATAACATTCGCTTGAGGGACTTTAATTCATTCGCATTGACTTCATTCAATTAAGTTTATTTTTGCTTCATGCATGATTCATTTCAGCGTTATTTCTATATGCATGGTACTTTCGTATTTCTTCATACACCTTCAAGCTTTCTGTTGTGCATTTTATAGAATTCTCTCCATTATTTACAGTCCTTCCATCTTGATATTACAAAGCTTACCGTCTATCCGGACTAACTGTGGTATCACATGCAGCACTCCAAAACAAAACCACTGAAAGGCACAAAGCAATGTCCTCATTCAATCACAAACGGTGAATCACCAAAATGTCCATAAATACACCATGAATTCGTGTGTCGTGTGAGTGCAGTGAGTGTGGGAGGGGTTGATTTCAGTCTTGGTGAGTCCATGTATCGACGGCAAAGCAACCCGCAAGGATGGCTCGAAGCTGAAACGTTGCAATCCACTAATCGCAAACAGTTGTGGCAAAGGATATTTCTGTTTGGCTGGCAATAAACCGTTCAAGCGAAGTAGTTTTTGCTGTCCTAAACGAACAGGTTCCTCCCAATTTATATCGCACCCTCATATTTTTCGTAGTTGATTCACGCAGTACCATTCATTCCAAAAGAACCGATTATTTGAGTGCATCCCCTCGAAATATTCTCAAATGCCGTAGTGATGGTTGCAGCATAGCCAGTTTGTTTGCGATTTTCTCGAACTGTCAGATCAGTATGTTGATCCTTTCAGGTGATCCATGCAAGGCGCTTAAAACCGAAGGTGAAGGCGAAAAGTTTTTACCAAGATGGTATTACAGTTCAACTGAACAGAAATGTTTACCGTTTAACTATCGTGGCCGTAAAGGAAATGAGAACAACTTCCTCAGTAAACGCCAGTGTGAAAAAACTTGTCTTGCAGGTAGAATTTGCTCGTATGCCGTTTCGTTCATATCGTGATCGATGCTGTTTTATTCAATGTTTTCAAATTCACCTTCCAGCTGGATCAGTTCTTGAGATATTTTTAAGGAATTCACTGAATCAATTCTGGGTAAATATTGAAACTCTTACCACTGAATCAATTCTCATGGGTAACTGTTGATACTCTGAGACAGAGCGACTTTTCCTGATATGCGGCATACAGGTTTTCTACGATCTGCCGAAATCATGGGATCAGTCAACTCGTTTCATTCATCTTCCAGAACTCGCAGTATCAAAAGCATGTTTCCGCAGCAGTGAACCGTTGAGAGTCGGTGGACGTATCGTACGATGTGCTAACTCACAGTCATGCCCGAGCACTCATTATTGTCACATTGGCGCTGATTCACGATCGAGCGTGTGCTGTAAACGAATAGGTAAAGAGTGAGTTCATTGAATTTAAGAAATTAAATTTACAACTTGCCATCATTAAATCCTGATTAGAATGTCCCATATATCTACACAGTTGCATTTGATGCATCACCTATGACCAATGCACAAGAGCATACCTCGTTTAGGTAATGTATGTGAACAAGAGCTGGTGGTTGGAGTAGGAAGCGCTCAATTGTCGCGGTGGTATTACAATAACGTTCAAGGCGAATGTTTGGAATTTATGTACAGTGGTCTTGGAGGAAACGAAAATAACTTCATAACAAAGAACGACTGTGAAGTCAGTTGCCCAGGTCGGTATTGACGAGCACAAATCAAGTTTTAAAATTCATGTGGGTCGTTCACAATGGATTCGAATGATTGCCTCCAGATTTGGAAAAAACAATAAGTTTAATATGAATCTATGAAAAGGGGAACTGAGAGTTGGATCTGAGGATCAGAGCTAAACATGCCCAGTGACTGTTGAACATGGAATTGCTTTAGGTTCCTCTGAGAAGTGCCGTCATGGAAAACCGTTGCCTATGAACCGTCTCCTTACAAAGTTTAGTAACGATACACACAATCTGAATACGTTTTGTCCCAAAGGATATATTTCCCAAACGACCAACAGCGGCCCACAGTTTGCTTGTTGTCCTGATCCAGGTATTATTCACTGAAAGTTTCTCGTGCTGTTTGTGTTCCATTTCTTGTAGTTCTCCACATCCAGCGATATGAATGTTTCTAATGAACACTTCATGAAAATGTCCTGCTCGAAGCAGTTGTTTGATTTAAGAAGTGGTATTTTCTGGGATAATGCAAACTGTTAGATATTATTAGATCACTGATAGCTTCGGAATTCGCGTGTACAATTTGCTTGAACTTTGTTTTCGTCACTTTAAATTTGATAGATCCCCAATTTTGACCAGCATGATCATCTTCAGCCAATTACTGCCTCTTGCGACCAGGCGTAGGACCGTGTAGTTCGACCATCCCACGCTATAGTTTCAACAGATTCACGGGAACATGTCAACAATTCAAGTACGTTCTCTTGGCTTTCGAAGTGAATATTTTCTCATTATTGAATTCAATTCCAACTGCTTATTATCTTCTACCAAGCTATTGGAGGCAATTTATTTCAGTTTCGGTGGATGCTTAGGAAATCTCAACAATTTTGCGACCTTCCAGTCTTGCGCAAATAGTTGTTATTACAATGGATATCGTTGAGTCATCGACGCTCTGTTTTAATGTTTCATTTTGTTTCGTTGCTTCGGAACTTATTTGAATATCGATGTTCGTGAAGTTGACCAACTATATTCATTCATGTCATCATATCACCATCTGAACACAGTGCTATTGTGCACTAGGATTAAGATATGTTCTTCATCTGTTCGAATTTGAATGCTTTCTTTCGTTCTCACATATGACTGTTTTTGTATCTATTGAAATGATTCCGTGACAAGTCTTTCATCATTTTTTGATTGAATTTTTATTTCCAAGCTACTTACTGGTCTGTATATGTTTGAAAATGGTGATGGTGCTCTTAATAATTTGCATTGATCTTAGCCACTTTTTTGTTGTTTTAATATTACTGATCATAATAAAAGTCATAATAATAATAACAAGAATGATAATAATAATAATAATAATAATAATAATGCGGTGAAATGTTTTTCGTTACCTAAGCATTCAGCACTTGCTAAATGATTACTCGTATGTATCATCCATATTGCTCAGAGCCAAAATTGTTATTGTTGAAAGTCATTGTTTTCTATTGCTGTTTTCTCTTCTAATCTTGTCTTATTTCATTCAGTGTTTGTAAATTTTAATATTTTTATTGTTATCACGAAACTGTTATTCGAAGATGGGTGAAAATGTGCAGCAAGTCACTTTCAAGTTGAGATGGTCACCGAATTCGTTTCACTCGGATTCAGTTTCCGACACAGTTTCTTTCATGATCAAGCAATTTTTTGCTTCAATTCATGAAACAATTTCTACTAAAATAAGCCTTCTTTAATGAGTGGATTGCGTGCATTTTCACAATCAGATTGGTGTTCTACCATTGTTATATTGTTCACTATGTTATGTTAATAACTTTCAGTGGTAAATTGCAGTTTATTGTTTCGATTTTGCAGAGTTATTTTGAGCACGTCGGTTCTTTATTTAGCTTTAGCAAAGCATTCTTCTCGGATTATTTCCATCCGTTTTCCTCAAATGCATGCTATATCTGTCACTTTGCACGCATGCTCAACCAAACTAATCTATTGTTGCATTACTCTAAACAACTTCATCTGCTCAAATCAGGTTATCAAGCGATGAGGCCACGAATCAGGGCGACTCAAGACTTCTACAGATGCGTCAACTGGTATAGTTGGTTCATGAACGTGTCGGTCGTATTAAGATAGTCCGGAAATGTTCGCAATCTCGCCCTTGGGCAAATTTTCAGTATATAAATTCTATGTATTTTTCAGAACAGCTCTGCCTGCTGTCGATAGATAGAGGTTCCTGTGCAGGTCAGCAAACTCGATACGCGTTTAGCAGACAACAGGTAGGTGGCAACATTTTCGAACTGATTGAATATTTTTCAGTTCTTTGAGATTAAAAGATTCACGACTTCGATATCTGCCAAAAAATCTCAAATTATCCTATTTATAGTGCAATATTATTTGCTGATACTCCTGGAAATTCATTTGTCCATTATTGTTCACGTCTAAAGAACTTCTCACATTTCAGAATCAGTGTATTGCATTCGATTATACGGGTTGTGGTGGAAATCTGAACAATTTCCAAACGATGACCGACTGTATGGCAACATGCGGTTCAATTGGATTCTAAGCAAAGTTCCATGCAAACTAACCATTGTAATTGAGCTAACACTTCAATTTTAATCATCTCGTGATGCACTTCAGTAGTCTCATTGATTTAGTTGAGCTTGTCATTCCGCTATCCCATAAAGAATTTAATTGTAAGTGATTTGATCGCTTCAGTGGCTCATTCTTGAATCTGAAGAATCAGCCGTATGAAAGTTTGATGCTGTTTCTGTACAAGTAACATAGAATAAGAGGATCAGAAAGGAGATGCTGTTTTATACGGTTACTTTACGGATGAAAATGAAAAAAACTAAGTTTTTTTTTAAACCGCCACTGTGAATTTGTACAAACTCATTGGAGTGTATACGTAATTGATTCGTTGAAGTTGCTTTTTTTAACAAGTGGTAGGTGGGATTTAGCGACCAATGGATTTTGACACGTCATAATCCTTCGTTCATCTGAAACAATGCATTTCGAACACTAAAGCTTTATTGCAAATGCCGAAAATATCATCTGAAATCTTTGTTGCCTTGTAATGATGATGAATATTGATGTTTTCCGGTGGGTTACTGCTGAGTGATCCTTCAAGTTACCATTAAACGCTCAGAATTTGAATCACGTTGACGCCTGGAAAAATTTTCATTCAGTAGATTTCATCGCTCATGGTGTTCACTGAGCAGTTCCCATGTTAAATTCTTATCATGTTAATAATCTGTGTCATCGAGCCACTCTTCTAACTTTCACCTTTCCATATTCATAGTTTCCCGATAGATATTTCTATCATTTATTCGTTGTAATTTTCACATATTTCATCCTTTTTTCCAAAATTCTTGTTATTTTTTTGAAGGTAATCTGAGCGTTCATCGTGATTGCTTAATGGAGCATAATGCATACTTGATGTGTTTGTTTTTGTATCAGTACCTCTTCATTCATTGAATTTCCAGTTCGTTCCGCTGTGGCACTAAAGAC